CAAAGACAAATTTTATTTTGTAAATGTAATGTCTAATTGCATACCACTTCCAAATTTTAATACTTTTTTTTTTAAAAGTCAACTTGGAGCTAACATGGGCCCCAGTTCTGATTTGTTGGAGTCGTTGGAATCAAAGGGGTTTGATATGAGTGCAGGAGTCCATCTGCCAGGATTACACTGTAAGAGCAGGGCCAGGATTTGTACATGACACTAAGTATATCATGATCTTGCACTATAACCTTTTTCCCCACAGCCCTGCAATTCTCCCTCCCATCTTTTGCTCAATGCAATCCCTTGCTGTGTTAAGTCTAGTTTACATTTATAAGGCTCACTGGGGCATAGACCTGTCTTTATTTGTCATTGAAAATCCTTGAACATCTGTAGGGCTCTATAAATAATGGCAATTAATTATACCAGTTTCAAAGGAAGACCCTTATAGGTTGTCAAAATGGAAAAATACCAATGCTGTACTTCAACTAAATTGTCTTAGGAGATATTCATCTTGTCTTGAACTTTTTTCTGCTAGCATGTACCACAAACTAAGAATATGTACCAAATACCAAAGCTATGTCTACATTAGAGACCTTACAGCGGCACTGCTGTCAGGGCTGGCGCTTCCACTAGGCGACCCTAGGCGGTTGCCTAGGGTGGCAGGATTTGGGGGGCGGCATTTTGCCGCCCTCAGCAGAAATTCAGCGGCGGTAGGTCTTATGTGTAGCTGCTCTATGCCGGCATAATTAAATCACCCTCCGTGAGTGGCGGTACCTATGTCGGTGGGAGAGCGTCTCCCATCAATATAGCTCTGACCACACTGGCGATTTGTTGATGAAACTTTTGTTGGTTGGGGTTTCATACCCCTGACTGAAATGTTTCATTGACAAAAGTGCTAGTTTAGTCAAGAACTTCAAGGGAGATTTTCAAAGGGTCAAATGGCAGTTAGGCCATTGTAGTCAATCTACAGAAACTGAGGTAATAGCCTCCTACTTATTTTTAATTTTGGAAAGAGCTCAGACACCATGAGTGCTATATAAGGGCTCCCATTACTGTAGCACCTCTGAGCAGCTCACAACAATACAGTGAGGCGGGGAAGTGCTATTAATCCCCATTTTATGGAAGGGGAACTGAAGCATCGAGAGACTAAATGACTTGAACAAAGTTATACAGGAAGCCTGAGGTAGAGTAAGGAATTGAACTCAGGTCTCCCAAGTTGGAGGCTAGACCATCCTTTCTCTCCATATAAATATAAGATGCTTCAATAAAATAGAATATAAATTTGAATGTCATCTGAATATTGGGATATCGGTCCATCCATAGCTTTTTTTTTAGATGTCCATAGTCCCTCTCAGCATTGGGCATTCACAAGGTTTATATATATATACATTTAAATGTATTTTAATTGTTATGAGTGGAGCAAAAAAAAACCAAAACCCTCTTTGTGATTTCTTTGAGATACATCTTTTAACAAAATGTCTGCGTTGGTGTTAGGCAGATTTTTCAGGCTTCAACAAACCAGATGGCCATCCAAAAATGCGATATGTAATTTTTATATGAGACTCAGCGCTGAATCCATCCAAGGGATAACAAGCAGAGATTTTTTCAGAGATTTCAAACTTTTAAAATAAATTTATTTCAGTCTTGTGTCTCTACATTTGAACTATAATAAATAGCCAGTGATAATTACCTAATTTCTATATTTAAAGAAAACAGAACATGTGTGTAATAAACAATAGCACATTGCGATACCAATGAAGTGACTGCTTTCTCTAAATGTAGAAATTCAGCAATTAGCACTAGAACGGGCATGTATAAAGGTTCTGGTGACAATTTTTAAAAGGCATATTGCTTATTTGATAGACCATAATGCATACTTTGGATTCATTGTGTTCTGCTATGAAGCCCTATAACTAAGGGCAGTCCTCAGCAAAGGCAGGGAGGGAGGAGCTGACTATAAGTCCTTCTTGTGCCTCCACCACATCTGGACTGGCCAGGCATCAAATCAGCCACCAACACAAATTAAAGCAGTCATAAGGCTGCTCTGTTTTAGCCAGTAGTATGGTCCCTTAAGGTATGTACCATCATTGGCCAGATGTCAGCAGACAGTGTTAAACTCTGGCCCTGCCCTCTCCAACCACCATCACATTCCTTCCCTGTCCCAGAGTTTCCCCTCCTCACAGCCTCAGCCAACTCTAACTCACTCCTTGTATTGGGAGGGAAATCAGGAGGGGCGATAAAAAACTGATTACAGCAGCCTGAGATTCCCCCATGTTATGAGAATCCTCAGTTGCCTTTCTAAGGCAGCTTGATAGTCACTCCAGTGGAGTAAAATTGATGCTGAGAGTCTAGGCCACATTTGCTTCATGCTGACACATCACACAATGACTCTCAGCTTGCCCGTCTATGCATAATTCTTGCCCTATATTTCCTTTTGAAACAAAACACTCCATCATTTCTGCTTTTCACTGGGCGTGTCTCCTGTGCAGCTCAGTTTCCTATTACCCTGTTCGAATTTACTCACAAAAAGCAACTTCCAGCAGAAACAAGTTTAGCACAATTTAGGCAGGTGGCAGTTTACCACCCGGCTGCCTATGAACCACTAGGGTCTTGGTTTCAGTTTCAGCTGCACTAACATTCAGGATGTACCAAATGCAAGATCAGTCACTGACAGAAGGCCTCGGTTAATTGGCTAAGACTGCTCTAATTCTCTATGAACACAACATCCTTAGCGAGTGGAACATGGTAACTGTGCACTCAGCTACTATGCCGTAAAATAGTTACTGTGAATTAAGCATTTCTATCCAGCTATGCATTACTAGGTCAGAATTCCATTAGGGCACTGAAGGGACAGAGAGTTTGTGGCTCACCGAGGGTCATCTCTATAAGTGTCCAGAAAAGCTCCTTTGTATTTTGGACCTCAGACAAGCATTAGCTGTGCATGGAATATATTAAAAAAATAATAATTACTGAATGATTGTAGTGGCCATGTTTCCAAATTAAATACTTTACCATTTAATTCATTCTTCAACATTATAAACATGCTTATGTTACGTTACAGATATAATTATTTACTGTGGCCCCATTCTGGCAACTGCCTCCTCACAGACATGCTGTACCCACCATTCTGTGAGTTATGCTTCCTTTCTGATGTAAGTTCCACATCTTTGCTCCTTTCCAGGGCACAAAAAGGAAACAAGAACACGGCTCCATGAAAATAATGAGAGCTGACAGTAATGACAATGCCAGCTACAGGGATAAGCATAGTACAAAATCCCAGATAGAGAGACAGATATGCATAGTTCAATTCTCATGTTATTTCTGAGGTTCTATATGATTAGCATATAAGGCCTGATCCAAAACCCATTGCAGTGAATGGAAAGACTCCCATGGACTTCAGTAAGCTTTCAGTCAGACCCATAGTGCACAATACTTCTCCCTTAATTATGTCTTAGATTAATAATAGATTTAAATATAAATTGCTGATGTATATATTTTTTTAATTCTTAAGGAAGTAACTATCTGAAGTTTGCATGTATAGAAATAGAAATCGCAAAAGTATGTTACATTTCTTATGCTGAGGTTAGATCTATCTTAGGAGCACTTTACTAGTACAGGAATACTGCTATGTTATAATGGAAGCACTCCTAGTGTGGACACAACTATACTGGCAAAGCTGCGCAATTCTGCTGGTATAGTGAAACCATCCCCCACAAGCTAAAAGAAGTGATACCGGTAAGAGTGCAATCTTCATTAGGGGCTTCTGCTGACACAGCCGTGCCACAGAAACCACACCTATTCATACTCCTGACTGATGTAGCTATGCCAGCAGAAGTGTGTAGTGTAGACATAGCCTAGGTTGAAATTACAAAAGACAAATTCAACAATGGCTAAGCAACACAATTACTAATTCGGAACAGAAGCATCTTATAATGAGTTTCACTATAAATGGCAATGAGTAGCACATACAGATTACTGCACAAACAGATGTACAAATACACACTAACAAGACCAAAAATACAAAGACAGACACAGAAGGGAAGGGTGAATATTTGGTGTAAACGGGACTGGCAGGTTCATTCCACACTCTGTTTGGACCAAAGAAAAGTGTGATATGGAGAAACACTCATACCTACTTTGGCAATCTATTGGTTTTGTTATGATCAGTCCAAACAAAAACAAAAATAGCAGAATCTGTGTGATAGCTGATGTGTTGATATATTAAAAAGTAATTAGAAATAGGCAGCAATCACTGAGGAACCATAGTGAGGGCTTGTATTTGTTCCTAGTCCAAGGACCTTAAAGAAACAACAGCATGGGTTTTTCCCAAGTTTTCCGTAGTACCCTCTTTCTCTCTCCAGCCACCTGCTCTTCATCCTCTAAAAGTCCCAGGAATCTTAAGGGAACGCACCATGGAACAGTTGTTGTCTGATACCTAGTCCTTATTAAACTTAAGGGGACAGTCACCCCATTACGATCCTGTACAAGGTATAATGTCATTATCAGACCTGGTCAACTATATGCTATCATGTTGCTCTCTAATGGCTGCAGCTTTCAGAAAGAAAAGACAGGGATTAGAAAAGGAAAAAGAGTGGGTAAGAGAGGAATGACAGGATAAGACAATGAGTAGTGAAAGATGTAGGGGGAAAGTGAAAAGAAATAAATAGATAGGAAAAAAGAGGGGAGGAAATGTGGGGGAAGACATGAAGGGAGGAGGGAAGGTGCAAGAAAGGGAAAGGAGAAGAAGAGAAAGTGGGAAGGGAAAGGAGATGGCTGGAGACAGTGCTACCTCTGATGTCCTAGTCCTGTTACCCTGGGTTTTCAGAACCCCCAACAGGGGCAACTTTACTATTTCACTCCAGGCGGTGTTAGGAATAAATCAATAGGAACTCAGCAAGTCCCTCTGATAAGATTCATGCAAGTAAGCATGCTCTATCTAAAACTGCAGTTTATTAGATTTAAGTACATACAAGCATAAGCAATAGGTTTAGAACATCCCAGATATTTACCTAACATCTGGAACAGAATTGAGTAATTAACAGCAAGTTCGCAGTGGCCAATTGCTCACCCACCAGGGAGAAAGGGTGTCAGGAAAAACGTCTCTCAAGATGGCTTCAGAGGACTGCTCCAAAGTACACTCTATTAGCTAATCTTTTATAACTGACTTCTACAAAACATGTAAGTCACAATGACCCCTACTGTATCATCACTTTTCCAACTTTCAATAAACTTTAAATATCAGAGGTGTCTAGACTGAAGGCTTTCCAAACACCAAGGTTTTTAGTCTCAGTTGTTTACTTGTTTGTCCCCTCCTCCAATTCTGATTAGCAGAAACTGTAGCTAGTTTTGACCTTGCTTCTGAAAGCCTGTCTCCAAATTAACCCTTAACTATGTGGTATTCTATTTCATTAATTCAGAGTGGCTGAATGCACATAATATGGTTGCAATTAGCTTGATCACATTCTGGGGTATACACACCCCTCAAATCCAGGGCAACAGTCCCACCAACCTGAGCACTTTTCACAGGAGCCATCTAGTAATAAGTAATCCACTGAGTTTGTCTCTTTGTCCTTCCACAATCTGAATGAGCACCACTGCTCTCTCCTGGTTGGAATGTAAGAGTGTGTTCACAAGTATGCATGTCTGAGTGCCACAACTGCACAGCGATGGTACTGACATTTCTAAAGTTGATCTTTCCCTTTACCCTATGCAGCCTACATAAGATGAAAGCCCTAAGCATTACTACATAGGTGGGAATGTTTACAGGACGGTCACCATTGTAACTATACCATGATGACTGATTTATGCATAGCTTTCAGACAAAAAATCCCCTGTAGGACAGAGCACATGTTGAAGGATGGATAGGGCTGTTTAGACTTCTCTCATTATTTCCAAGGTATTTTCCTCTGTGGATGTTTTCTTTACGCGTACCCATTTTTAGCCTATGCAAACAAAAACGTTTTGCCTTTTTGTTCAGGGGAAGCAGGGTTACCATGGGGTTGTGGTAACTGAGAGAGCAGCTGAGGTGAGTACAACTGGGCCCGTCTCTTCTGTGGTGGCATTGTGGTTTTGCTATGGGGTGCAACCAAATGAAAGAACTTTATGTCTTAATAAATACAGCCCTGTGTAATTCTCACTGTGAACATGTGTAGTATCCTTATGCATAAGTATAAAAGGGGTGCAGCCTACCCATGGCCATAATTGATTTTCTTGTGTAGTTGTCCACTCCCCTATAGCCTAACCACATACTCTTCTGCACCAATCTTATGTTGTGTACCGTTTACCATGTGGAATCTGCAAACCCATAACAGTCTAACTCTTGTACAAAACTTGATTTATGGCCACAAAATTTCTTTTTAATGAACCATTACCCAAAATATCAACAGCATGTGTTGATTTCCAAAAGCAGTTTAATATCAAAAACAGAATAAGATATTCTTCTTGCTCCTTGACTTAGGAGTGCCACAGAGGCTATATTCTCACCTCTCATTGGATGGTGAGTGTACACCATCATTTTGACCTGGTGCACAAGTAAGCTCCCTGTACAGTCTGACTCTAGCCTCAAAAGAAGCTGTCCATCCTTCCAGTCCACACAAGAGATCCACTTCCTGGACACTACAGTGCTAATAAGCGATGGTCACATAAACACCACCCTATACTGGAAACCTACTGACCGCTATACTTACCTACATGCATCCAGCTTTCATCCAGA